GGGTGGCTCCTACTGCTGTGCACGCTGCATGGGGGGCCATGTGCCCCTGGATTTGTGTGCAGGGAGAGGGCTAGCTGCCGCGCTTGGGACCTGGGGTGGGGTGGCGGTACTGGGAGGGAGACCTATGGGGGTACTAAAACAATAACCAGAGTACTAAAAAAGCCCCTACGAATATATTTTGTATTTCTTTTATAAGGAGAATCCTCTGAAGGACTATCACTTTCAATTATTTTTTGCCAAGTTTTCAGATGGCCCACACAAAGGAAGCACAATTTCCACTTCCTAAGCATAGTCAAGTAAAAGAAGCAGTATTTACATTCAATTTGAATAAGGGCATGGACAAACAATACATTTTTGCCAGGAAATATGTCCTTTCTCTACCAGCCAAAGAAGGATGGAGGGAAGGAGTACGGGTTGCCCAATAGCTCACCCAGTTACAAGCTGTCAGTGAGCCCTGCTGCTGTCCTCACTTAAATAGTCCTGGCAAAGAAGGGCAGGCTGTCAATGACTGGACTCCCCTAGGGTCAGGGGGACTCAAAGAGCAGCACTTCACCTCTCAGCTGGAGAGCTCACCTCTGAAGCAACTGTGTAGCTCTCCAGCCAGGAGGAGAAATGTTAAGCCCCCCTTCTTGCCACATTTTATGGTGCTGCAAATTCCCCTGAAATTCTTAGAGCTGAAGTTGAATGCCTGTCCATACCCAAAGGCCAGCCTGGATTTCTGTCCAAATATATTATGACAGCCTGTGAAGGCTATTCCATACTTACTACTAAAAATATTTTAATGAGCAATATTGCCATTCACAGAGCTATATTTCTGAGAATCACCAAAAACATTCAAATGTCACTAGATAGTGAACCTTCTTGTACAAGAGGCGTGTCATGGAACCATGTCATCTGGCCTGTATGGCTTCCCATAGGGCCAGAAACATGGCTGTGGGACAAGCAGCAGCAGTGTTAGTTAATACAGCTACTGGCAATTAATTCTGTTGCAACTCATCCCACGGCCAAATTTCCAGCCCTGTGGGGAGCCCCGTGGCCTGGATCCAGAGTGTGAAGCTGTCATGTGGCCTCCAGGGGAGATGGTGGCAGAAGGAACAGGAGCTACCTATTGCAGCTCCCACTCCTAAACTTGTAGTCCTGTGAGACAGGAAACAGGGCTTCAGACTCCAGATCCAGAATGCAGACCAGGGTCAGGCGAGTCTGACACCCCTGTTCTACAAGATGATAGGATTAGTATTCTAGGTACTGACATTTGTACAGTAAGTGGATTTCTGCAGGAAGAATACTAGAATTACACAAAACTAAATTCCAGGCCTAGTAGCCATCAGAAAACTGAACATCAGAAAACTAAAGCCTACATTGCAAACTTTTGAGCTTAAAGTTAGCAGAGAATGTACACTAAATATGGCTTTTCAAATATATATATATATATATATATATATATTAATTACATACTATTATTTGCATTCTGGTACAGTCATATTACAATTCACACTGATGAACCAAATACATGGATGGTTACTGACTGGAACAGACATCAATCTATAAATCAGAATTTGCTGCTACATTTATATCAACTGTCTTTCTTAAATGACCAGTGTACAACACCAATAGTCTTTTGTGGCAGGGCAGGCTTTATTAAATTAAATCGCAACCTCAATTTATTACCTTGCAAAGCCAGCAGGCCAAGGCACATAAGGGATCCCACCCCTGGAACAAAACGTAGGCAGGGCAAGAGCCCCCAAGGGGACATTTGTGTGTCTATACACAAATGCCAGGGGCCTGGGGAATAAACAGGAGTAACTTTTTCTCCTGCTAAATGCAAATAACTATGATGTCATTGGGATAACAGAGACCTGGTGGGACTCCACCCATGACTGGACCATGGGTATAGAGGGCTATACCCTGTACAGGAGGGATCGAGTGGACAAGGGGCAGGGGTGTAGCTCTCTGTGTTAAGGAAAGCTACACGTCCCTGCAAGCCGACATTGGCACCCATGGTGGACGACTTGAGACTCTCTGGGTTAAAATCCATGGGGAACACAGCACAGGGGATACTATGGTGGGGGTCTACTATAGACCCCCTACCCAGACTCAAGACATTGACTGGGAGTTCACCAGGGAACTGGCTGAGGCCACATGATCCCAGTGCATGGTTGTCATGGGAGACTTTAACTACTAAGACATCTTGTGGGAGGAGCGCTCGGCCAAATCCGAGAGGTTGCAAAGCTCTCTCTCATGTATGGATGACCTCTATCTGACGCAGGAAGTCTACGGGCCGACAAGAGGTAAAGCATTGTTTGACCTCGTACTGGCAACCAGGGATGACCTTATCAGCGACCTAACGATCGAAGGGAAGCTGGGTGACAGTGACCATGAGCTGATCACCTTCACCATCTGCTGTAAGGCTGGCAAGTCAGTCAATAATACAGAAGTCCTCGACTTCAGGAAAGCTGACTTTGACAAGCTAAGAAGGCTCGTCACAGAGAGGCCCTAAAAGGCCACAACCCAACGGTGAGGGGAGTTCAGGATGAGTGGTTGCTCCTCAAGGGAGCAATCCTGGACATGCAAGTAAAGTCCATCCCATCTCAGAGGCAAGGCAGCAAAAGGGCACAGAAGCCCCCTTGGCTCTCCAGTGAACTGGTGGACCTCCTACATCTTAAAAGGAAGACCTACAAAGGATGGAGGGCTGGAACTGCCACCAAGGAGGAATACTCTGCTCTGGTCCAGACCTGCAGAGAGCAAATCTGGCATGTGTCCACGAGGGGCCAGCAGGGGAGATTATGCTTAGGAGCAACCAACATGGGTTCATTAGAGGCAGGTCCTGTCAGATCAACCTGGTGGCCTTCTATGACCAGGCCACCAAATCCTTAGATGCAGGGGTAGCAGTAGATGTAGTCTTTCTGGACTTTAGGAAGGCCTTTGACACTGTCTCTCACCCCATTCTCATTAAAAAACTGAGGGACTGCGGTGTCGACACCTACAGAGTCAAATGGGTCACCAACTGGCTGGAAGGCCGCACCCAGAGAGTGGTGGTAGATGGGTCATTTTCAACCTGGAGGGATGTGGGCAGTGGGGTTCCGCAGGGCTCGGAGGCAGAAAGAGATCTTGGAGTCATTATTGACTCCAAGATGAACATGGGCCGACAATGCGAGGCCATGGTTGGCAGGGCTAACCGGACCTTGTCGTGCATCCACAGGTGCATCTCGAGTAGAGCCAAGGAGGTGATCCTCCCCCTCTACG